TACTGTATTGTCGTCTTTGGCTCTATTCCCCTGTACTTGGAGGTTCATGGGTAGTTATAAGTGGGGTTATAAGTCCCCTAATATGGGTTATAACTATAGTTACCCTACTTATAACCCAACACATAGCTACCCATGAACCACCAAGTAGTTGCCCATGAGCCCGCATATCAACATTCCCGACTTAGGAGTTGATATCCTGAAGGCCTGAGCCCACGACACTCAGCCCACAAGCTGAATGATCCTTAGAGCCAAGCAAACTTGAAGACAACTACGGCCTAAACCCTACAGCCTAATAAACTCCACAGCCTAAACCAACAACTCCAGTACAACTTTCCCTCAGCCTTGCAAATCCAACGCCAAAGGAAGCCTTGAGACCTTTCTTTGAACCATCCGTCATCCCTCCTCACCTCGACCTGAACCCTGGAGCCGACACTCAAAGTTGTCAAAGCCCCCTAAACCCTAAAGCCTAAACCCTAAACACGAAGACGACGAGGTGCAAGGATGCGCACTGCCTGGTGGACATGGCCGGGATTGATCTGCTGACTGCATACGAGAAGATCCCGAACGGAAGGTCGCCAAGAAGTCTTTACTTGGAGGTTCATGGGTAGTTATATGTGGGCTTACAAGTAGGGTAACTATAGTTATAACCCATATTAGGGGACTTGTAACCCCACTTACAAACACCCAGGAACCTCCAAGCAGGGGTACAGTAAGGCTTCACTAGGCTTTGGCCTGGGCTGGCTAAGCTCGGCTTTTGTTTTGCTCGCTGTTGTGTGCATTGGTGCGGCTCGGCTTGGCTCGGTTTGTTGCTCAGCTTGTTCTATTTTGTGCTGCCTGGCTTTTTAGCTTGGCTCGGCCTGCCGAGTCAGCAATCGAGCCTAGCCAAGAGAGAGAGAGCCCGAGCCAAGCCAAGCCAAGCCAAGCCAGGCCCAGCAGCGCCCAGACGAGCAAGCCGAGCCGCACCAAAAGCCAAGCCGCACCAAACCCTAAACCCCAAACCCCAAACCCTAAACCCTAAACCCTAAACCCTAAACCCTAAACCCTAAACCCTAACTGAAGCCCCCAGCCCCAGGGCTCCAAGCTCGAGCACCCCAAAGAGTAGAGGAAGTTCGACAATATATTAAATATTACAAACTATGTGTTCCACATGAAAGATATGGGAGCTTCCGAAAATTAGGGCACCTTAATTTTGGGGGTCCTTATAATAAGGATCCTACTATTTAGGGTCCTATATTAGGGTCCCCTATTTTCGGAAACCCCCATATTATATGCTATGTATTTCATCTTCGACATGGCCTACAGTAACAGCAGTCTACTTTTCTCTGCTCTCTGTTGTAATTGTTGTGTTCGTTCTTTCTTCTTCTCCGAACACAGGAGATCCCTAAACCTCGAAACTCCAACAAAGCCCAAGCTACCCTTAACCCTAAACCCTAAAGACTAAACCCTTAAACCTCACACTCTCAAGTTGTTTAGACTGGAAGCCCTACAGTCAAGTGCCCTCCAAAATCCTCACAGCACTCCTCGAAACCGTCGTAAACCTGTACGTACATCAATTCTGAACACCTCTTTCTGACTAGACCGTCGAGCCTAAACCCTCCCAAACAAAAAGAAGGCCTTCACGAACCCTAAACCCTAAACCCCCAAAACCCTAAACCCTAAACCCTAAACCCTAAACCCTAAACCCTAAACTATTTGGGCACATGGACCCTTAGGGAGGGCCCCGAAGCTGTGGCAGGTGCTGTCAAAGTCTGCTCGGATCACCGTTCATCCCATGGGCCCCAACAGCAGCTCGAATTCCAGGGAGCGTTGCAGGGGGTTTGGGGTTTGGGGTTTAGGGTTTAGGGTTTAGGGTTTAGGGGTCTTAAGGCTTAGGGGTCCCAGGGTTTAGGGTCCCCATGGGTTTTTGGGTCTTGTGTCTAGGAGTCAAGGGGTCCTAAAGGCCTTGGGGTCCCAAGGTTTCGGGGGGGATTTCGGATTCCAAGAGGTCGAGACCCCAAAGGCCCACAGGACGGTTTAAGCTTTGGGGTTTCAGATTTGAGCCCTGAGCCCTGAACCCTAAACCCTACAGCCTAAACCCTAAACCCTAAACCCTGCAACCCTAAACCCTGAAGCCCAACCTCTCTCAGGTGGATGGCGTAGAGTTGCTCGATCATCCCTACAACCTTGCCACGGAGGGCAAGGCGCGGCTTCTGGTACCATAAGAGCCTTGACACCCACAAACAAACCAGGATCCTAAACCCCAAACCCCCCAGAACCCCCTAAACCCTATAAACCCTATAAGCCCGATAGGCCCTAAACCCTAAAAACCCTAAAACCCTCAACTCGAAGTGCCTTTTCGGTTTAGGGTTGACGATCCGACACCCTTGAAACCCTAAGCCTCTCCAGCCCGAGCCGCTGAGCTGTGTGGAGGGTCCACGGTTTAGGGTTTAGGGTTTAGGGTTTAAGGTTTAGGGTTTAGGATTTAGGGTTTAGGGTTGGAAGGGCTCCGGGGGAGACTTCACCTGGTGGGAGTTCCATAGATGGGAGTTTCCGATTGGGGTCCTGATAATTAGGATCCTACTATTCTAGGGTCCTCATAACAAGGATCCTACTATTTTGGGAACTATCTTAGGGTCCCCTATTTTCGGAAACCTCCATATCCAGAGTGGTCGACTTTAGGATTTGCCTCTGAACCCTCGGCGCCCGAGGCCTGAAATAGGGCTCAGAGGGGGTTCGTGGTTTCGGATGCCAGGACCTCTTCGAGTTCTGACGTAGCTACGGGCTCTCTTCAGGGTTGCTTTCGGTCCCTAAACCCTAAACCCTAAACCCTAAACCCTAAACCCTAAACCCCTAAACAGTCCTTCTTTTGATGCACGGCCTCAAAGGCTCGGGGATGATTCTGCCTTGCCAGCTTTCGCCAGC